CATTAGTTATTTGTAACAATGATAGCAAAAAGTGAACTAACAACAACAAAACAAATTACTTATTTAGAATCGAGGTCAAAAATGACATTAGGGTCACCAGGGACTTTTCCGTCGTCAAAATGAATGCAACAGTTTATTTAGTAATTGTTATCGTTATGCCAAGAAATATTGTATCAACTGAACATTAGATGAGACAATACCAATTTGTAATTGGTTATCACTATCGCTATCTCAGAAGTTGATTGTGTTATTATTTCTTCTGGTTTTGTTTAGATGGAAATTCCAGAGACTATAACTTGTTATTAACCCGGATAATTTAAATTAACGTTGTACTGGTGATTGCTGATGACAAATGTACCGCATTTTCCTCGTGGTTACCACCCATTATTGCTATTATAATATATTAAGGATAAGGAAATGATGATAATAATAATAATAATAATAATAATAATAATAATAATAATAATAATCATCATCATCATCATCAAATGACCTCCGAATAAAGTATAATATCAAAAAAAACCTCAACTGTTTAGCTCGGTTATTCGGTATCTTGGATCGCGAATCGCAAATTCCGGGCGTTATCAAGAGGCGACGCGTTTTGCGGTCTAGAAACTCGGTCAAGTACTCTGAAACGAGCAACTCCTATGAGAAAGGTCGGGCTCGTGGATTCTCGGGCTGGATAATAAATATTACACCAGCTCATTTAAATCCAATCTTTATTTTTCATTCGGAATTAACTATGGCAATATAATATTGTATGGTGCACTTTTCACTGCACGCTTTCAACCAAAACTACTTAATATTATTTTTATTAAAATTCACATGTTATGTTATGTTATGTTATGTTATGTTATGTATTTGATTATTTTGCCTGGGTGTTTACAAAACCCACGTGTGAATAAATGTTCGTTAACGTTCTCGAGAATGCTGTAATCATTGTCCACGACAAGAAAATAATATCCAACGGGTATTATAATATAATTTTCTTTGAACATTAGGATCTACAAGTTTGTATATTTATTTTAAAGAGAATAAAATTTTTTATTGACAAATAATATCAACAACAATTTATTAAATTTTATAAACTTTCAAAAAATTTTCCTCGTTTGTCGCAACAACCTGAAACGTGCCCTCAAAAGATCGCGTGGGTGCCGACGAACCGGACCTGTGCCTCTTACATTTGGGCCCGTGCCCGACTAAGCTCGCGTGGGTGTGCGTATCCAGGAGGGCCGCTAATTCATCTCACTAAATAAAATGATAACATACAACAACAAAGAGAAAAAAAATAATGACATCTACCATTGAGCATCGTGGGTGGGGAGTCGATAAATTCGTTCCATTGATAATCCCTCCCCCCTTGTCACCCATCACGTCATCCTCTACAATAAACTAATTAGCATTAAGAACATAAAAAAAATCATAAAACACAAACAAGTTGAGTAAACGGTATTTCATAATAACAAAAGTCAACTCAACTCAATATACTACATAAAAAATAAAAAATAAAAAATAAAAGTCTTGGTAACTCATCGAGCAAACGCTAAGAATCCTATCCTCACAACGTTGACTCGGGGCACGCGCCCGCAAGCACCCTCCCCTCCTAGGCAACAACCTAGGGCCCACCGACATTAATCGTGTATCGTGTATCGTATATCGTATATTGTATATCGGGCCTGTTCCCCACCACCACCACCACCACCATTTGATTACTCCGCTCGCCCACACTAGTCCCCTCTCTCTGTTGGAACCTCTCCCACTTTGCGCACGTGCTTTTCTTTATACAATCCTCTTCTTCTCCAGTTCTTATTTTCTTATTTTCTTCTCTCTCTCTCTCTCTCTCTCTCTCTCTCTCTCTCTCTTACTCTGTGTCTGTGATGGGTTTAAAGAGGAAACTTGACAATACACTAGTTTAAATTCCCTCCTTCCTCCTTCTTTGTTGGTGTTTCACGTGGGCACCACCGCAACTTAACGGCGACCCACACGCGGTCATACTCAGAGCCTCCTGCAGGGACCGTCACGTGGCCCCTCTCTTCGTGGTCCGCTCGCGCACGACTCGCGCCCGCGCACACACCCTCAGTCAGAGACGAACCGAGGGACCGGCTGCCGACCGGGACGACCGGCTCTAAATATTTACTTTTTTCTATTTCTACTACCACAAACAAGTGCGTTCGTTATTTTGTACAAATATAGAAAATATTCTCTGTGTGATTTATTATTTTTATTACCACGTGTGTTTTGTATTTTTCTATTGGTGCTACTCTCGTCAATTTTTAAACCTTTATTATTAATTTTGACGTTTCTATTAAATAGTAAATAATAAATCAAAAGAATTGAAATTCAAATTCAAATTGTCATTTTTATTTTAATTATTCGCACAGTGTTATTCTTTATATTCCGTCACATGTGTAATTGTGCTGCTGTGGCTAAATGTGTGTCACTGTGCCAACCAATTGGAGTACCATGAAAATTCTCCACCAACGCATTAATTCGCATTAATTCGTCGGATCAATTCATATGGTGCTTATTAATTATATAATTATTATATTTTATTATTTGTTCCAACGATTGTGGATTTTTTTATTCATTTTTATTTAAGGGTTTTCTGTTAAAAATTATTTTATTGTTTGTGTTTTTATGAATTTTGACATATAAAAACAAAACATTTTTTTCAATTAGTATTTAAAAATTTTTGACACAATGAATACTTAAAAATAATATTAAATAGTGGGAGAATGTGTCAAGTTAAGCTGATAACTTGAGAACAAGCTCGCGGTCCCTTAATGAAGCGATTCCTATCGTCCCGTGAAATCTGATAATTAAATCCAAGTCCTTGCACGCGATATTAATCAACCGACTGTCGGCGATACGAGTGACTTGTATCCCTCACGGCTAGTGGAAGAAAAAAAGGCCCAGCTGATGACTAGTCATGTGAATTTTGTTTCTTTTTACATTAATCTTATACAACAACAACAATCAAAATTAAACTCATTGATTATTGATTATAATTTTAAAATATTGATAATTAAATACAAATAAAAATTTTAATTTCGTAAGAATTGAACTAATGACATAAAGTCGGTAGCCACAAACGGAGAAATAAAAACATAAAGCTCTTCCATTTTTCATTCTCTTCTTTTATTTATATTAGTTTTATTTCTTCGAGGCCGCTTTATATTTACTTAACTTTTTTCATACCATTACATTTGATTCAATTTCGCAATGTCGTTAACATAATAAACTCCTGACGGACGCTAATTAACGAAAATTTTTTAATTTCATCTTGAAAATTTATGAAAATAAATTTATTATAAGCATCAGAATTAAATTTTCTATTGAGAAATGATGATAATAATAATAATAATAATATTTTAAGTCCCTATCCCGCGGAGAAATTACCGCGAGGCTCGCCGATAATTAAGAGCCGAAGCGTGGGCGAGTAACGGGTATCTTTAGATTTGCGTCAACTTTCAAGTATATTTGTATGTATATTAGTGTAGAGTTTCCAGGGGTTTCGAGGATATCAGTCTAAATAATTTAGCTCCCGACGGCTCAATTAAAATTAAAAAGTTTGTTTTATTTAATTGGAGGCGCCCAATTTTTTTTTTGATATTTTTAGTATTCTTTTTGGTTTTAGAAAGTCACTTGAAATTTGAGCCTGTGAAAGTTAAAATAGTTTTTTGGATTAGGGATTTATAAATAGAAATTTTTTCTTTAAGATTTCAATTCAGGGCTCTGGATATTTTTGGTACAATTCTTACAGAAAAAAATATACTAATATTAATTTTTTTTATCAACACTATTAAATTTGCTATAAAGAATTCTCAACAGCTGCTGGCCCTTTAAAAATTTCAAGTCCCTTTAAACTTGAAAATAAAAATTTTTTTAGCCTCTTCCTTTCGTAATATAAATGTCAAATTTAAATTTAAAGCCAGCAATTATAAACTTTCCAGCAACGAGAAAAAAAAAAAAAAAAATCCTTACAAGATCCTTGAGATCCCCGGAGAGTTCAACCCTAAACTTTGACATCTGCAGCACACGTTCTACTCACTTGCGCTCATACTTGATTTCCTATCATCACAATATACTATACTCGTAACCAATTTAAAAGTCCTCGGACGAAATATTCTTACAAAATTTAACTTCCTCCATAGATTGTTGAACGGCTTTCTTAAAAAGGCATAAAATAAAAATTAAAAGTGTCATCTGGATAATAAGGGTTATTAATTTCACAATCCTTAATTAATAATTACAGAAATAATTTAGGTGGCTTTAAAGCGTACTAATGTAAGTAAAGAAAGATCTATAGAATGACAACTAATTATCAAGTAGCTCCCGGGTATCAATTTAATCGAATTAGAGCCAATTATCCAGTGGAAGTTGTCGCCCAGGCGTAAGGAAGATCGATCTTTGTGTTTGCTAATAATTGATGCAATTAATTTAATTTTCTTCCACTCATGAGAAAGATCGCTTATATTAATTTTAATTTATCTGATAAAAAAGAACCCACTATCCTGGAACAAATAATAAATTAATATAATAAATAAATAAAGCTTTAATATTAATATATAGTATCAACTTATTACTTTTCAGGAACCGATAAGATAGTCGAGGCGTTAATAAGTGAAATAAAATAATAAAAGTCATTTTAAAATTTTTATTTAATACTCGAGGATTTATCCGTCGCATCTAGTCACAAGTCATCGATCAAAATATATATACATATAATAATATATATAATATAATATAATATATTATCAAGCTGTGATACTTGGCAATTAACGTTGAGACTTGATTAATAAGTGCCAGAATAAATAAATAAGTGCAATCGAATAAATAATAAGTCATATACTGATTTTATGGTTAATCGGTACTTTCAGTGCTAAATTATTTTATAAAATAATACAAACTGGAAATTATTAAGAAAGACATAATATTTGATATATATATATATATATATATAAATTGTCATAATGGTTATCTTGGATCCCGAGCAAAGACCCGAAAGGCAGCACTGTGGTCGGCGAATGTGCGCCATTTGCCGACGCATCAAACGCGATAAAGGTAATAAATAATTGTCATTATTTTTATTATGTATGGTGATAAAAAAAAAAAAAAATTATTTTTGGTTTGGGTAAATTTAACTTGATTCAAGAATTTTTCTTGAGCCACCGGACTCTTAAAATTTTTAAAAGTTTATTTTCCTAAATGCTACCTTAATTCGTCATAAAATTTTATTAAACGGCCATCTGGATACGCAATTATACCGAAATTGCATGTCTTGGAGAAATGACAATTAATATGAAATAAATTGCTGCAATTAATTTTGAAAAAATTATAATAATAAAAAAGGGTTGTTGCGCGTGGTTTAAATATTCAAAATTAAATGTAAATGAGTATAAAAAGTATAAATAATATATAAAATAAAAAGTGGGAAGAGCTTAAAGAATCAAAAGAATCTGTACTGGGTAGAATCGACTATTCTAATCCAGCAGCGTATTGTTTTCCTCAGTGTGTTTGTTGTCTTGAGGACCCCCGTGGCCACATGGATTATTCATCTCCAAGTTCTTATCCTTGTTACTTCTCATACTTAGTACCTCCTCGTACGCACATCCTCATATCTCGAGGATGCGTCATGACGAATCCGAGCACCGTCGAATTAATAATATTAAGCTGCATTTAATGTAATACTGTATTGAAAAATTAACATTTTTTATTTTATTCCAAACAAACGTATATTTTATGATGATTAATGATTAACGATCGCTTATATTCGATTATATACATATGTATAATAATATTATTGACGTGAGTGAATTGTTGAAATAGGCGCATCTTAAGTACTGAGTTGGAGATTAAAAAAAAAAAAAAAAAAAGTCATCAGACTTATATAGGTGTGAGTTTACAAGTCCCACAATTCAGAATTGATAATTTAGGTGTGTTTATATATTTATTATTCATTTATTTTTTTTTGTATTATTGAAGATGTAATTAAATTTTGAGCCCTTCCTACGTTAATAATAATTTTAGATCTTTTGATTTTTGATTGACTTTTATTAATATATTAATAATGAATTATTAAATGATGCATCTAACACTTGTTTTTCTCTACGCAATATATATATATAATCCCACTAATATTTATTAGCATAATAAATAAACAATTTAATATTAATAGTTTTAATTTATATAATATTGAAATCGTAAAACCTATACGGGGCTTATTAAAAATATAAATAATAAATGTATAATAGATATTTAAACTGATGCAAAGTATGATTCTTTTATCTAATTTAATCATCTTACTCAAGATATGCGGCTTTATTTCCCTGTGGCAATTTATCAAATGTCTGAATATTCTCTATATATATCCTTTCTCTTTATGCTTTTTTTCTTATTATATTCAACACGTTCGCCAAAATAATCACAATGATATTTATATTTACAAGTCAATATTTATCCAATTTTTAATTATTATAATTTTTTATATCAATAGAAAATTTAATTATCATTGGAATCAATGATCAACATAAGAGTTAAATTGTTATTATTTTGATTGATAAAAATTAAAATAATTAATAAAATATGGAGAAATAGGAAATAAATAACGAGATAAATTAAATATAATAAATAATAACCGAGTGATTGGTAATCGAAAGTATTAAGCAAATGATGTTGATACTAGTATTAGTATGACTAATATAAATAAAATCTAAAGGAAATCGAAACTCATTGAGCGATAGAATTTGTGAATGAATGAAACAAGAATCAAGCAAATAAAAGTCGAGTGTAGTGGCGAAGGGCACGCGTGGGTGTTTAGTCAGTTTAGTGTTTGGTGTTCAGTATCAACCCACTCGTTCTATCATAATATCGATAGACCTCCGGGACGGCGTGCCCAACATAACCATTCGCGCATAGCGCAAGGTTGTCTCGCGCGATCTAAACACCTATTTGCTATCTACTATCTGCTATCTCACATCTCTTATCCCTCGATCTTGTCGATTCTCTCTATACTCTATTCCTACACTACATAATATTCTAATTTATAATATTAAGTAGCTAAATCTCCAATACTACTGTTTATACTTTAATATACTAGATAGTAAAATCGTTTAATTTATATTCATACCGCGGTCGTCGGTTCGTTGCACCATTTTAATTTTATTATATTTAATATATTTTACTATTACTATTACTATTACTATTACTATAATATAGTTGTTGGTGATGTAGTAAGTTGTCGCCACTCTAATTCATTAAAATATCTCAACTGTCGTTGTGTTATATTATTATTTCATCATACAATATTTAACTTTTAAACTTTAAATGCCCACACTTAAAACCCACACTATTGATGGTACGCACTTGGAGAAATTATCTTTTTTCTTTTTTTAAATCAAATAATTAAATCATTTTTTTTTTTTTTTTTTTTTTTTTTTTTTTCTCAGTCTAATAAACCTATTTCCAAAACAAGAAACAAAGGGCGTCGCTGAATTTCTATTTTATATATTTCAAACAAAAAATTTTGCTCATTACATTACAACAAATATCACGGGAAGGAATTACCTTACCCAGCGCAAAGGCGTCGTCTCGCGCCAAGTACCCGTTTTCTATCTAATGTGAAATAATTCACCTATAATTTCGATACTTTTTATCCTGATCTTACTCCCCTTAAACAGAGACAATAATAGTAAACGCCTAATTTTTTTTAAGACTCCCGCGCTTCCCATTAGTACTTACAACAGGCTGCAAATATTTGTAAATACACCCACTAATTATAACTATAATTGTTGTTGAACAATGGATGACTTTCTCAACAAACGAGTCCATCAGACAGCTTGGCGTCGGATTAAATATACCGTAGTAGCTAGCTCTGATGTCTGCTAGATACTACTACTAGATATAACTTGTGCAAAAAAATTACCGCATGCTCAACTTTTTTTTATCAACAACAGTAATAATAATAATAATGATAAAAATAAAAATATACAGACATAGTAGATGATAGAAGACGGTATATCCATGAGAAATCTAATGGATTTAACTTGTATTGCGTGTAGACGAAAACTAGGAAAAGTTTCAAAAAATTAATAATCAATATCTTGGAAGTTGAAATAAAAATCTGATGGATTTAACTCGGATGCTGATGACTTGATAAATAAATAAAAGTCGACGTACTGGGGATAACCATCAACTCAAAGTTGATTCCCGTACGATAATTAATTAACTTTTGATCTTGTAAAAGTAATATCCAGAGTCTGCGTCTGAGTCTGATCTCCAGGCTGGGTCCGTGTCTGAGTTGGAGGCAAACAGTAGCTTCTTACATGTTACATATATTCAGTATAATGTATATATATATATATATATATATGTATCGAGTCTTGGTCTTGCAGAGGCAAAAAGAAGGAACGAGCTCCGTATCGGTTGGCTGGTTTCCACAAATGGAATTGGTTTCGCTGCCAGAGATACGATCGGTAGGATGGGATGCCGTGGAAAAACGCCATAACTCGGATCGTATATGGCGGCAATCCACAGGTGCAAGTGCATTCAGAGCCAAGTGTCCTTCTTGCATTATCTGCCCCTCAACTCACCACGAATCAAAGATCCCACCTCCGGCTGAGCTTGAGAGGTCTCTCAGAGGAGGAGGAGGAGGAGGAGATACCACCCAGTCCCCCTCCTCCCAAACCCTCAGACGTTTGCGTAGAATCTCAATTGTTTTCGTCTCTCACTCCCAATTCCAATTTTTATTTATCTCTAGATATATATATATATCATTTCTATAGCTGGTTTTTGCGAGCCTGATCTACAGAATTTACACCGTGTAATAACTTCTTGGTTCTTTTTCTTTTTTTTTTTTTTTTTTTTTTTTTTTTTGTCAAAAGTTAGGATAAAAAAAAAAAACTGTCTTGATTCTCTTGAAAATTATTGTTCAACTTCTAGTTAAATTCTTGGTCAAAAGTTGTCACTAATCATCCATATAATAGAGGATTGAGGATAGCACGTGTCTCAGCGTTTTGTTCTCCAGTTGACGCAGTACTCTCTAGATCTAAGATCGTAGGAGTAACCAGTACCCGTAGGCTCACAGCTCACGGCTCACGGCTCACGGCTCACGGCGCACGGCTGTCAAGCCCACGTGGCCCACCTACGCCCGACAATATATATTACTGTTTAAATGCTCGAGAGATAGAAATCCTCAACAGAGCAATCTTAATATATATATATATATATACAAACATAAAGAAAGAGAATGTACACTATATTCTTCGGGGAAAGGTACGACATTCGGTTAATAATGAAAAAAAATAATAAATCCAGTAGAGTATTTAATATTTAATGTTAAACATTTAAAATTTAATAATTTAATAACACAAAAGAGTCGGATGAGATCGAGCTACGGAGGGCCAAGAGACTCGCTGTTGCCCTGAGTCACGGACCGCGACTTAAGTAAATTTACTTGCGACATAATACAGGAAATTGTTTCATATTGTTGGATGCTGGACGCTTATTACTTGAGTAAAGAGAAAGAGGATTTAATAAAATAAAATAAAAATAAAAAAACAAGGCAGAATATGTGGGTGTATATGATACATGGTCAAGCATTTGTATGAATAGCTTTTTTTTGCTCACCTCAATGGGCTTGTGAATTTTTAAACGCGAAAACAAGTACCCTAGAGATTACGATTATGTTTATAATTAACATAACAACTGTACATCCTTGTTAATTTTATATGTCACGTGTATAACTAATTAATTAAGAAAAATAATTTTTTAAAATGAGGATTGGGGTACAAGTAAAAATCTCTGTCTGACTGACGGGTGACTAGGAATTTTATCAGGTGAAGAGGAATTTAATACTCAGAGCTGTTAGCTTGAAACAATGCCAATATGTCGTTAACTTCCGCGCGACACGTGTAGTAATTACCATAACACAAGTACAGCTGCTTGGACTTTATATAGCAAACTCTCTAGTTGTAAACTTAAGCTCTCCGCGGTCTTATTCCAGTCATTGGAAAAATTCTAAAATAGAATCAACACCCGAAAATATACGAAATATACGTCTCAGAAAAATAGTCACAGGGCCGCCGAGGGCAAAGACCTTAAGTGATGAATTATTATTTTTTAAGATGCGGCAAATGTTGTCATTAGTTTGTCATCAAACTTATGGTTTAAATGGTTTATGCTTCAAGCTCTATACTCATTATTTTTTTATTTTTTCAACAGAGTCTCCTTCAGGGAATATATACGGGCTGATTTACTGGGAATAAAAGTAAGGACTCTCGCTGATTTATACCGACAAACTTTGTAAATTTAGTAAAGTTGTTAATTTTGTTTTTAGGGATTATAAGAAACGAGGATTATTATGCAGAAAAAATAATTAACTTTATTAAAGATTTTTTATTTTTTTGCGTGTCAATAGACTTAAGAAAAATTCTTTTTCTGCCCTCCGGCCGGCAACTTGTGGCAACTTTCTGGCCGCTGCGCTAAACAAAGTTGCCACATTCCGGTTACGTCGAGCAGAAAAATAGTATACACACCTTGGCCAGTAAAAAGTAAAGCCTCAGATTACATGTTTGTCAACCTCGGCTTTGCCTCGGCCAACAATTACATGTGATCTGAGACTTTTCTTATTTTACTGGCCTAGGTATGTAATATACTATTTATAAAAATCAAATAATGGCTATAAAATTATTTATATTTATTTATTATGTCTTATTTTAGTAGGTCATGTAAATACAATATTTTTATTTATCTAAATAATATTTATTACTCCTTAAAATAAATAGCCCAGAAGATCATAAATTATCGTTAAAAATTTAAAAATTACATTACTTTTTTTTTTTTTTTTTTTTTTTTTTTTTTTTTTATCTCTACCTTAAATTTAACGCTCGTTATAAAATAATTTATAGACAATATTAAGATATATAAATATGAAAAAATACATAAAGTTTATTAGAAAGTTTTGTAATAATTATTAAAAAATTAATAATAATTATTAAGTGGTCTATTACATATCTCGTCAGCGGCGGCGGTAGCGGCAAAGTATACATATCCGTACATATTAATTATGTAAGGCAATAAATTGATCGTTTACACGGTGAATAAAAATATTAATAAAAATATAGTTAATGTAAGTGAAATAAAAAAACACGTACGTTTCAATTAAAAGGCGTGGCGATGGGCGGAGCTTGACAATACACTTGCAGGAGAAATCGCATCATATCAACGCACTCGCACCCGCACCGTTCCGTCTTTTTGATCCACTTTACATCATTACTCATTGCTTATTGCTCATTACATTTTATTGACTAAATATAAATTTGAATCACAAGTTGTCGAATTTTTTTAATTAATTAATTATTATTATACATATTTTATTATTAGAAATAAAAAAAAAAAAAAAAAAAAAAATATAGGAACCCTTCCGTATTATCTCTCCCCTGTTTACAGCCATAATAAATCACAATCTGATGGCATTGAGCCGGTTAGTGGGTCACACTCATGTCATGTTAATTTCGATGTGAAATCTTAACGCCTCACTCACCACAAACTGCAAACTGCAAACTGCAATCTGCAGCGAGCAGTTGTTGAGTATCCAAAACACTTGATGCATCTTTAACATCCACGTATCCGTCACCTACTCGGCTCGCTGTAATTTATACAGACGTTAAATCTTAAACGGGGCTTTTTTTTCCTCTCTTTTTCTTTTTTTTTTCTCTTTGCCTCCTCGACGCTCAACTTTGGGTATAAATAAAATAAAGTAAAAAATAACAATGAAAAAGCCTGAAGAAAAGTTGATTTAAAAAGGATTTTTTTTTTGTCAGGTGTCAAGTAATTTTTAGAAAGTTTGAAATAAAAATAAAAATAAAAACAAGAATGAGTTTGAGGATTGAGGAACAGATGAAGGAGACCAAGGGAGCAGACAGAGGACAGAGGACAGTGAATTCTTGAGACTAGACATATGGGCTAAGGGGGGAAAAAATTTGAGCGAAGGAGGAAATAGCCGCACAAGTAAAGCTATCAGCCAAGTCGCGGTGTGTTACACCAGCACATATGAGCATCAAGAGTGTTAAATCTCCGGGTCTAGTCCGCGGAGCAGCGGCTTTATTTATACCCAAAGCTCCGTATTATTGGATCACCCCCGCGACACTAGCCGGTGTGAATATGTGTCTTATCCGTCTTTCTATTTCGTCTCTCACTATACTATGAATATATCTGATAATAATCATTATAATAGTTTTAGTTTTAGTTTTAGTTTTAGTTTTAGTTGTCTTCTCATTCCACGACACCCAGAAATAGAATCATCATCACGAGAAATAACAAAAAAACCGTTCATTCCTCTTTCCTCCCCAGCATCCTTAATCGCTTTATTAATATAAATCACCGGTTTTAAGCATTTATATCCCTATTGCGTCCAATAAATTTATTATTTAACATTTTAAAGTCAACTTTTACTTATTATAATTATTGCGGTCAAACAGTTAGAGATCCAGCAAAATTGATAAATACCTTTTTTTGTAGAAAATTCAAATTTCTACAAAAAAGGTTTTGTTATTATTTTTCCGTATCTTGAATCCTTATAACCCCTAATTTCAATTTAAAATTAAAAACTTTAAATGCACTTGAGTAAAATATATGTATGTTTGAATGTTTGAATGTGTGTAAAATTCCTGAGGGTGATTTATTCTGCAATCTTTAAGAGTCTTTAAAAAGGGAAGTGACTACCGACACGCGAGCGTCTTACTCGTAAAATCGCGGTAAGTAATTTCAAAAGAATCTTCTCCCGCCCCCAATTTACCAGGACTGGCATTATATTTTTTTTTTTTATCGAGTTAGTAAATTTATTTTTTTCTTGCCCAGCATACTCAGTTTGTAAGAGTATTCGAACACCTCACGGCATCTTGTGTGGTCGGGGTCGGAGTCGGGGTCGGGGACAATTAATTCCAAATTAACTTGTATTAAATTCTTGTTCATTTAAAACAATTTTTATTTATGCTGAAACTTTTTATAAATAATTAAGAATAAAATTTATTCAATAAATAAATAATTGATTATGATTGATGAGGGTGATAAATCAAAGTAATTTAGAACAATAGAAAGGAGTAGAAAAAAGGAATAATAAAATGGAGAGCAACGTCGGGATAAAGAGATTTAATATTAGTGGTGTCTGCTTCGGATGAAGCTGAGGCTCAAAAGAATAAGAATGAGAATAAGAATAAGAATAAGAATAAGAATAAGAATAAAAATGAAAATAAGGAAGAGCTAGTACGGCATCAAGCGGCTTATAAGCCCTACTGGGTACAAATTAACACACAAAGGGAGCCGTAGATATAAATAAATACAGTATAAGTAAAGAGTTGAGGCTGGAAGTTGTGCCTTGGAGTTTGAGCTTGTAGTGGGGTTGCATAAATTTTAACCAAAAACAAAACCAATCGGAATCGAATCAGCAATCTGAATTGAAAGTACCTGCCTGATTTTCCATCCACCTTATTTTACTGTCTTTCCTTTTACATTATCACTATTATTATTATTATTATTATTATCATTATTATAATTGTATAAAATGCGTGGGCTGTCAGATCTATCGATAAACTTGAGAATGAGAGTCAAGGACGAGGAACAATTAGTCTATTGTAAATAATTGGTTTAGTTTCCGATATATTTTTTATATATAAATTATTTTTTATATGCAAGACATCAGAAATAAAATGATAATTTGTAAAATCGAATGGAGCAAAATAAAACCCGAGAAGAGATAAGACAAGAGTGTCAGCTTGTTAATGAGCAAAATATAATGTAATGCACCTGAGAACAAACCGCCGGTAGAAAAATTAAGAGATCCCTTTATCGCAGTTGCATGATTCACCTCCTGGCTCTCCTTGGCTCCTTGGCTCCTTGGTTCCTTGGCTCCTTGGGTCCAGTAGGTGCAGATAATAAAAAAAAAAAAAAAAAATCCA